GAGATAGAATCTGATAGGTCACCGATATGGTAGTCCAAAATGTCATCCAACAAGATCAAAATGTCGAGGACAATAGGTCACCAATGTCGGAGGTACAGAGTCCAAATGTAACCGGTGTCCGAACTGCGATGCAGCCGAGTATCAACCCCAACAATCTCCAAGTCTCCAATCAGGTAAGTACCACAGTCTCATATCCCCGAAGTCCAACTCAGATCTCTGTCCAAGTAGTATAAGTATCCAATCTGAAGAAGAAGAAGAAGAAGAAGAAGAAGAAGAAGAAGAAGAAGAAGAAGAAGAAGAAGATGGAGTCTGAAGAGGGAGAGAGAGAGAGAGAGAAAGACGGAGGTGAGGAGGAGGGGAACGGGACCGTGGAGGGAGGAAGAGATCCTCGCCTCCTGGTACCTGCCCTGCTGCTGCTGAGGCGGCGATGGCCGCCGTGCTGCTGCTGCTGTCCTCGCTGCTGCCGCTGCGCTAGCTCGCGCTGCTGCTGTCCTTCCTCCTGCGCTCAGAATAGCGCTCAAACGGCGCTCTGGCGCCGAACCTTACCGCACCGCGTAGAGTGCCGGTGGGTCGATCCCTGAAGTGAGGCCGGACCGGTTCTTTATACCGGTGGGCAGAGGCCGGCCTCACTGCTGCGARGCCTGGCYGTGCCCTGAACYGTCCAGATGGACGGYTCAGCCCCAACCGGCGGGCGGCAGCCTCAAGAGCGCCGCCAGGCCCAAACGGTAATGTCGTTTGGGCCTGCCCGTCGGGTCTGGTCCAAGGTGAGGCCTTTATGGCCTGTAGTACCCCAAGGTCGGGCCTTTAGGCCCTGGTGTGTCCCTCCGGCCCTAAGTCGGGTCCGGTAGGACCCGTGTGCGTCGAAGATGTAACACCAGCTCATTTCTGTAACGCCAAACAGCATTGCAGAGGACTGCTCTTGTTGATTGGGCTATATACCCCCAACCTTTGTCGACTGAGAGATTGTCTGGAATGCTGCCCAACGGACTCCAAATTTTATCCCAACACAACGCCTTCTCTGATATCTTATCCCATTTCTTGATCTACCATTTCCAGATCCGAGCAGCGGAAGGGCAGTCCCACCAAAGGTGAACTGTAGATTTGAATGCCCATTGACATCGATTGCAAGCGAGGTCCAGATTCATTCCATGTTCCGCCAACCGTACAGCCGATGGGGTGGCCATCAGCGACAGTAGCCAGAGGATGAGAGCAACTTCAACTGAGCCTAACATTTCCTTATGTGCAAGGCCAGCTGTTGTTCGTCGATCTGCAAAACTGCCCTCCATCTTGTTACTGCTATGAGCAGTGGATCTTTCGACGGTAAACACAGTTTGTAGCCTAATTTCTGAGAAGAGGTTAACAGGGACCTAAATTTTCAGGATTTTTTCAGGGTCATTATAACAAACGTCCCATACCTTTTACGCCAGACTTGTCACCAGTCCATAGAGTGGACACCAAATAAACCAACAGCAAAAAAAAAAAAAAAAAAAAAAAGATCAAAGGGGCCGTAAACCCCAAGGCAAAAGTGCGTTTGCATGCAAAATTCACTCTTTTCAGTTTTCAGGATTTTCAGGATTTTCAGGATTTTTTTGAGAATAGTCCAGAAGACATGGATTCTGACCATTACGCTCAGCCGCTCTCCATTCCCACATTTTAGGATCCAGTTTAAAGCCCTGCAGGGGTTTTCCATCACAGAATAGAGTGCAAGACCATGTGCCGTCGCCATTCAATATCTCAATTACTCTCACTTGCGAGAGCGAACAGCCGACCGATGGCTGGGATTGTGATTCCGCCTGTTGTAATTGAGGGTATACCACAGACCAGCCTTGGAATGTTTTGTTTTTTCCGTCAGCCTGTATATCCAGCAATTTCCACGGTTCTTTGAACCAGGTGCCAGACGGGTTTAGTGGAATCAAGCAATTCTTTTCAAGTCTGAGGGAGTGACTCAATCAGCTGATTCTCTTCTGACCTATATTTATGAGTGGGCCCAATTTCTCTCACGCAGTTTACTGTCTGAAATCCAGTCCCCATACAGGTCGGCCCAAAGATTAGCGATTCTTAGTACTCCTTTCTCTGCCCAGGTTCGACCAAAACTACCTGGGGGTGTATCTGCTTTTATCCATTTGCCTGCGTTGTTGCGAATGTGTGGGTTTTCAAACGCTTTGTAACCGGTTCAACCCACACATCCGGTTTTTCAGAATTTTCCAAGCTTGAATAATAGCATTCCAAAAGGGGGACCTGATGTATCGACATTCGAATGATCCAATAAAGAGGCATAGCCAAACATCCGTGGGACGACTCAGGTTTCATTCATTACAAAAAATGTATTCGGTCATTGCGATCCAATGAGAATCAGGGAGGCCCAAAGCAGCTTTAAATATCCATTTGACAAGCATCGCATCGTTGTGTTTTCTTGGGTCAAGCATACCCAGGCCACCCTGATCTCGTGGCAAGCACAACATCTCCCAAGCCACCTTTGAGAGGAATGAGTCTCTTTCCTCTCCAGAGGGTTTCAGACAAAAAATTCGTTGTTGTTCTCCTAGTCATAGAACACAGTTGTTTACCGAGTCCTCATACCGTGCCAACATACCATAACAGGGCAAAAACCGCACCGCTAAACACCGTGCCTCTGCCAAATAGTGACAGATGGGGGGGCTTGCCCCCACGACACCATCCTCTGGAGTGTTCTCTGCAAGAGCAAGTCGTCCTGGTGGGTATCACAAGCCAGCTGGGAGATTTGAACGTCCAGAAACCTTTGTGGTTGGTTAGGCTCTATTCTGTGCGTGCCCCATTGTACAAACATATCAAAAGAGGCTGGCAGGAAGAATACAAACTTATGCCAGTTCACTGAGGCCTCAAAGAGGTTAGATTACTTGTCCAAATAAAGCGTCAGAGCATTCAACGAGCAAGTGTCGTTCCTTGTTACTGCAAAAAGATCATCAGCCAAGACCTTGACCTTATAGGCTGTAGTGCCAATTGGAAAGCCATCAATATGAGGGTTGGATCTGATGTTATTGAACAGCACATCCATCTGAATGTCTTGGTACCTGTTGTACCAATTACAGAAGTATTCATATCAGACTCTTGAGATGATGTGGCTGAAGGTTCCCCCTCCAAGTTACCTCCATCTGAAATGAAACTACCTTGATGGTCTAATAGACGTTGTTTACTCGCCAGACTGCTACGTGGCCTTGGAAAATTGACATCTGACTGCCCACCCCCAACTCTGCTCGCCGAGGGGGGTTCCGTGGTCCTTGGAAATAGAGTTGATGGTTGCATACTACATCTGGACATCCTTTTTCCGACCATGTCCTCGATCAAGGTACGCACATCAATGCTCATTCACTATCTCAGGACCACATGGAGGGATGGGGTACTAGCGGCCATTAGTTTCCACTTCCTCAGGGACCTGATGTTAGGTTTCGTAAAAGAGCTCGAGAAGGATGGAACCCTGAATACAGAAGGCGTGCTGAAGGAGGAACGCCTCTGGAACTACCCGATCCCAGCAACGCTCGCACGCATCATGCTCCCTCGCACGCATCATGCTCCCCACCCGGATTCCCGAAAGGCCAACGAGAGTCCCACTCAGCTCTCCGCGGGACGCGGCGCGAAAAAGAAGCGGTGGAGCGCAGATTCCGGGACAGACCACTCTCAATTTTAGGAGGGCCCAGCCCGCAAATGACGCCCCTCCCCCTCCTCCCCCTCCTCCTCCTCATCCCCCTCCTTCGTCTCCTCCTCCTCCCCTCCAACGGCAACCTATGACGATGGCTACCGGTGGCGGACCCCAAATGGGGAATTCTACTATCAATACGAGTGCAGCAGTCAGCCCCACCACCGGCCACGTGGATGCCTGTTCTCACCTCCCCACTCCCCTCCGTTCAGCACCCTCTGATGGTTATCAGGGGACTCACTCCTCCGCCGGTAATCCACATTTCGCCAGGGGACTCCGCTCAATCAACGCTCACTCAGCCTGGGAGGAGGAGGAAGAAGAACGCAGGCGGTAGAGGCGGTGGGAGGAGCGGTACTGCCCCCCCTAGAAGACGCACTGCGAGGGCTTAGGCTGGCAATGTAATCCCACTCCTCTCTCTCTCTCTCCCTCCCGCTCTCTCCCTCTCCCTCGCTCTCTCTTTCTCCCTCTCTCTCTTTCTCCCTCTCTCTCTTTCTCTCTCTCTCTCTCCCCCTTCCCCTCCGTTTTTCCTGTTGTCCTGGTTTTACACTCCTTGGCTTTTTATCTATCCCGATTATTCGTCTTTTTCGATTACTTTTCTCGATTACTTTTTGGTATGTTTCTTCATCACTGCACCCGTGGCGTTTTTTCCCCCTCGCGACACACTCCATGTCTTGTACTGGTGTATCGTAGCGCAGGATCCGGACAAGTGGGTGAACGCCCCCCGCCAGATGATCACCCTACCGAATGGCAAGAGGTCATGGAAGAGGCAAAGATCTGAGTGTGACACTTTTCTGCATCTAAAGTATACCAGCCGCGTGATGGAACCATTGTCCGTTGGGAGATTGGTGAACGAGGTGCTCAGCAGGATGGTGGGGGATGACACGGAGACCTGGTTGGAGTGCACAAGGATCGGCTGGACCTATAACTCTAACATAGCCTCCAAACTATGCAAACCGGCGGAGGCGTTCTGCGATTTCGACGTATCGCAATGGATGGAGAGCTACGATCCGGAGCGATGTCCGTGCAGGACGCGGAGGTACTCAGACATGCGCACGCATGTCATCACACTGGACTCATCGATCACGGATAGCCCGCTGCTGCAGGGCATCATCAGAGCAGGCCTCAACCATATCCTATGCATGGCTCTGGATGTGGATGAGGCGATCAACGAACTGGGGAATTTCCTGGACAATCTTTTCGCACAGGTGATGGAGCTGCACGACCTTACTGACTCCACCAAAGCATTGCTTCGTAGAATCATCTTAAAGAAGGGGAGGGGAAGAATCGAGAAGTACAGAACGACATACAGACATGCTACCGCGGAACCGTTCGAGCATCCTGCCGTCAAAAGGGAGCTGCAGTTCTTAACGGGCAGATTCCTCATCTGTCCAACGGATAAGGCTCCCAACACTCCAACCTTCGTCTGCAAGCACTTCATACGGAAGCTGGCTTTCAAGAGGTTGTCCGACCCTGAATTCGCCAGCATTAATGCACCACCTATGGCGGTCATCTCGCACATACCCGGCGAACTCTCTGCTTTGCCTGCGCTCCCTGCTGCGCCGGCAGCGCTCCCATATCTCATAACGGTTCTGAAGGTGCACAAGGGGACTTTCCGCCGAATTACGAACACTGCCAATACCATCATCTCTCCTGCAGCGGAGGTCTGTGCCTGCTTGTTAAGATTCCTGCTCCCGATGGCGCAGACCTTTTGTCAAGAAAGAAGCCTAGAGGTGGAGGAACAACATGGAGTCAGGCCGAACCTATGGTGGGCCATAGCCTCGGTTGGAGAATTTTGTGCTAATCTGCTAGAGAGAGTCTACTCCGTGTTTACAGCCGATATTACCAGATGTTTCGAGACAATCCCTACGGATGGCTCGGAAGACAGTCTCCCAGCTGCGGTCAAGTTCTACGTACAATGTGTGATGCAAACTAGGAGGGAAAGGAGTTCTAGCCACACCATTCGTATTAAGTTCGGGGGTAGCGGCGGGATGTGGCCATCATGGACGGACAGTGAACAACCAGAGGAGATGGACGTGCTACTGTTCAGAGAGGAGGACATCTGTTGGCTCTCGGATTGGTGCATTGCCAACAGCGTGTTACGCATGGGTGATTACGTGTGGAGGCAGGTGAAGGGGATTCCCATGAGACTGGCATGCTCCCCGATTTGGTGTATATACTTTTTTAAGTATGAATATCACGCCATGATGCGGCTGGTGGATACGGGGAATACCAATTTGATCCCATGCTTTGGTAGCACCTTCAGGTACATCGACGACCTTGGAGCGATCAACAACGTCGTTGTCAGTAGCTTTCTGCACAAGAAAGGGGAGAGACAGGCGGATGATCCCTGCTGGATCTATCCGGAGGAATTCATCGAGATGAAGGAGAATACGGAACTAAATGAAGAAGGGCTTGGTCGGATCGCCAATTTCCTCAGTATGACCATCACGGTCACCTCCCCGATCACAGGATCCTACTCTACCACCAGGCACGACAAGCGCACAGGGCTTGGTTTTTCTCCTTGCAGGTTCATGAAGTTCAGATCCAACAGGAGTGTTAAGCAGTCGCTCCAGATCATTACGGCACAAGTGGCTCAGATTCTCCTGCTCTGCTCAGAGCCAGAGGATGCAGCGAATGAGATTGCAAAGGTGGTAGCGGCAATGAGGGGCAATGGTTTCGCTTTGGACGCCTGTTGGAAAGTGGTCAAGAAGACCCTTCAGAACGCCTACCTCTATCAACAGGGTAGATTGTTTGTACACATGATTAGGGAAGCCCTGACAAACCTGCACGGGATTACTGACTAACTGTTGTGTTTATGTTAATGTCTGTGTGCCTACGTGTATATGTGTGTGTGTACGGTGTTTGGGGGATGACTAGGCCGAAAGGGCCGGTTGTTCTCCGGATGGCCGACCCCCTCGGCCCCACTTCCCCCTCGGAGGGAATGGGGTGGGGCACACACACACACACATACACAATCAAATGAGATTGGGTATACATATGTATCAGTTATATATATATATATATATAAAATGTGTGTGCTGGGTCTTTTTGAAAGAAAAAAGGAAACGGAAAGAAAAAAATTGCTTCTGTCGGAAGGGTTGAATAGCAGAAAAAACAATGGGGCTATAGGCCCAAGGGGTGCGTTTCGAAAGAAAGATTGTTTCGGGTCACACCAAAGCGCAAAAAATAAGGGCTTAAGAAAGAAGGCCTGGTACCCCCCGAAGAAGAAAAAGGGAATGCATGCGCTTAGGAAAGAATCCTGCCGAGAATCGAATCGAACGGTCGAGGCTCGTGCCGTCGGAATAGGTACTGAGTAGGAAGGATTAGCTAGGCCTATTGACTATATTACGGGTAGGCGATGCGGTCCTAACCATCGCCAAACCAGATTGTGCGGTAATTCCACGAGGAGAGTTATCGTTTCTTGCGATAACTTACCACGGGGGAATTACCGACACTCCGAGCATGACGAGCAGGCAACTTTCGTCGACTACGTTTGTCGAGCAGCGCGTACGAAGACCGATACGTTACGAGGGAGAAAGGACCTTGGTGAGGGTGAGAGCGAGTGTGTCAGTTTCGTGCTCCCTGGCGCTGATCTCCAGTGACCCTGGAGCTGTGTTGATGTGTGAGGCTGCATTAACGATTGCGGTTGTTACTGCACCAACGAGGGTGTCAGTGAGGTGTACGCCGGAGGGTGTGCTAACGTCGAACTCGCGAAGGGGACACTGAACCATGGAGGACGCACTGGCGTTTGAGGAGATGTTGGATGAGCATCTGAGGGAGGAGGATTTGGTTGAGGAGTCGCAAGGAGAGGCGCCCCCAGAGGTGATGTTAAGAAGTCTTAAAAACTATCGATACTATGATTACTATTATCAATATTATTATTTATTATTTTATTATTTTGACTTGATTCTGTGATGTATCCTTGCGGGTGCGGTTTGGTACTTACCTACCCACGGTGTTTGCTTGTGTGGAGAAGATTCCTGGTCACGATAAGCAGGATGAACGATTGTGCTTATATGTTTTTCCTCTGATGAGCTGACGAGGGTGGCAAGTCAGCGAAAAACTAGTTTTAGGGAAATGCCACTACCCCTAGCCGCTCGTTTCTCCGCAGCTTTGGTTTACCGGCTCTGTATGTAGCCAATTGGTGAACCAGGAATACCAGGAATCTGAAAAGYGTGAGTGTGTGTTTGCTTGAGTCAATRAGGATGTCTGATTGATGAATAACGACTCACCCGTTGCGTRGCTCCGAATTGTCYRYGATCCCGACGTGTCGTTCYTTGCCCTGTGTGTGATTTTGGGTTTGTTTTGGGGTTTCTTGATARGTGTTGTATGCAGATGAGATGASGTMATGAAGGACGGAGTGGCATCAAGTTGCCGTTGTCGGAGGTGTCCTTTTGGGTTATGTCGATCCTACGTAACAAGGCTGTTGATATCAACGAGTGGATCCGGGGTCAATGGGTGATGAGTGCAATTATGTGTGAGGAGAAAGGAGTTTCGCAGAGAATGTGTTGGGTTGTGCGATTGTCTGGGGAAGTGGGAATGAGGTCGCATTTATCGGATCTGAGTAGGCGCAGTTAGCGTTGGTTGAGTAAGAGCTTTATTCTGTTAGTTCTGAGTGTTTTATTTAAGCCGAGAATAATCCCTCGAGGGATGTGCACTAAGGATGGTGGTGGAATGATCTCGGACGATGATTCGTATGATAGCAGGTTGGGGGCATGATCGCCAGGGTGGTGTGGAGTAGTGAGGATGGGTGATGGATAGCTAAGGGGAAGCGTGGGAGTTTGCTGAGAATAAGTACACCTTCGTGATTATCGTGATTACGTGTATGAGGACTTATTTCGTGTGTTTTCGTTCCTATTCTTTTCTATTCTTTTCCATTCTGTCCCTGTATTTTTGTTACTTTTCCTTGCTTTTTTGCTCGAGTTTTCTTCTTTCCGTTTCTTTTCGGAAGGTTCCGTAAGTGGGGTAGCGTTGATGATGGGATTAGGAGGTGGTGGATATGATCGGTCGACAGTAAGGTATTTAGGCTGCTTGGATAGGATTTTGCTTATCGACGAATGGTGGCTGTATTGAAGACAAGTAAGAAAAGGGAATAGTCATAGACCCTCTTTGGCAGTACGATAATTCCTCAATCTTGGTTCAGAGGAGTAGGTAATGGAGTGAGAAGGTTTTCAGTTATATATATATATATATATATATATATATATATATATATATATATATGTTGTGTACGCAGCAACCGTTTCGAAGGAGTGTTTGGATTGGGAGGTTCAATGCGTGCTCACAGTTTGTAATAACCCATGATTCAATCCACCATCGATGTTTTGGAGTCTATGTAAATCATCTCGTTTGATAAATATGCTGATTTCTCCTTAATGTCCCTTCATCTACATCCTTCTCTCCATCGTTTTTTTTTCTCCTTCTTATGGTTATATTTTTTTTATATATATTTTTTTTTGTTTCTTTTTTCTTTTTTCTTCGTTCTTCTTTCGCAGTTTCGTTTGTTTATTTGTTCACTTTTTCTTTCCTCTTCCATCTTTCTTCGTTTTTTTGTTTGCTTCGGCTCTGGCCATGTCTATGGTACTTGTTGATAGTACTTCACTTGATTGGTTTGTGCATGCCTTACGTCCGTACCATCGAATGGAAACTTAGGCATAGCAGAATAATGAGACAACATAGCTACACGGTGGTTCACCTATCAATGATGAAGGCATGAGCTTTGACACAATCATTGGATGCAATTCCCGTATGTTGAAACGTGGTATGGTGTGCATGTGCTTGTGCGCAGAAGTTACATCGAAGTGTGTTTACACACACGACATCACACACACCCTAAAGAGGTCAGATTACCTCTGAAAGGACTTCTTCCCAGGGCTGGTACCCCTGGCCATACTTATCACTACTACCGGTGTGGAAAGTATTGCGCCTTGTAATGACAATATGTGTCAGTGCAGTTGTTTTGATTTGTGTGGTAGTGAAGGTTATTCCAGGTAGGTACTTACTATGTGTTGCTCTGCTATGTTTCAGGATTTTGTCTCTCCACGAATCCTGTGGATTCCGAATTTGGTGAGGGATGACAAGGCTTGGCTTGCTCGCTTCTGCCCGCCACCCCGCCCCACGCAGACTCTGATTGCATTTGCGCAGAAGCAGGTCGTAGCCGCAGTCAGAGAGAGATCAGAGACTCCTGAGATAGATTGCTATCCCTTGATCGATTTCCTATCCTTTAATGACTGGGCCGAGTTAATTCAGGTCTATAGGTCGAGAAGATTGATGTTCAGTACGACCATTGCAAAAGTGGCCAGGGCCACAAGTGAAATAAGGGAGAGCTCCTTAAAGGAGGACAGGGAGATTCCGGATGCTACTATAGATGCTGAAGCAGTCTTTGTAAGACTGTGGGGAGCGGACTCTCGTTTTCATAAGACATTGGGAAGGGCCCAAGATACGGTGGGGGAGGAGGTAGCAGTAGAGGATGAGGAGGATGAGTTAACCGAGGAGGAGAGGATGTACATGGGAAGAAATTGGCGGAAGCAGCAAAGGTAAAGGAAAAGTTGAGGGCTACCAAGAAGAAGAGGGCGGTGGGCGACAGTAGAAATGCGTTCCTCCCGTGCGCTTCATCCAGATGGGTAGAAGGGATGTCCACAACTTTTGATGGGAATATCTGGTCATTGGAAACCTACAACCACCTAGCCCCGCTAGATAACAGAGCGTATAAGCTCTTAGGGTCGCTATCGCAAGATGAAATGGAGGAGTGCATCGATAGGGCCATGGAGATGGATGTTGCCCCTCCTGGTGTGACTTTTTCGTTCAATGGAGATGGTGTGTTCATCCTGCCAATGAATGTCATGGACGCAACAAAGTGTCCGTCCCGCAACCCGCAGGTCTTGATCAAGTCATCCAAACCACCGCAGTCACCCAATGCACTTTCAGAGCTGAAACACATTTGGAACTATGGTAGACCGTACATAAAGTGTAGATGCACCGTGGATGGTAGGGACGATTGCGGCAATGGCCCGGCGTGGTTCGATCACTTTTTATGGTTCCTACTGTACAATTTGGATATTATGTACCCAGATACACCCACTCCGAAAGCCAAGGTATCTTCATTGATGAAGTGCCTCGCGGGATCTTGGAAGCCCCTGATCCTTGCCTCATTGTCCTTCTCCTGTATCAGGGAGATCATGATGCTTCTCACCAAGCGGATCATCAGCAACCCTCCTTTAAATGCTGATTTGGTCCTGACGGGTGTTAACCGGTCTGAGAGGAAGGCCTTCAAAGAGTGCGCGAAGGCCCTTCTTCCAGCCCGATATGTCAAAAAGAGAGGCAATGCCTCTGTGTCTGATCCCTCCTCCTCCTCGGCCAAAAGGCAGAGGAGAGAAGGACAGAGGACTATGGACTCCTTTGTCCATCCCGCAGAGTTCACACCCCCCCAGCAGCGGCAAGCGCAGGCAGTTGGCTCTCCTCCGGAATCCACGATCACCCAGGTTGGCGGAAAGCGTGTTTCGTTGCCACAAGGCGCTGACAATAGGGCCAGAAGGAACTTGCAGATGTCCACTATTGGAGATTGCTGAGCTCAACCTCAGAGTCATCATCGGTTTTTTATGTGTGCAGGTATGCTTGGGATCTATTCAGGAAGGACCTTCGGGAAGAAGGAGATGGGCCAAGAAGAAGGATGATCGAAAAAGGAAGTTTGTCCATATCCAGTACATCGGAAGAATGATGGATAGGGTCAATGTGAAAGGGATCATTGCGTCGGTCCTGTACGCATTGGGGATTCCTACGGTGATTGCAATATTCTCCCTGATTACAAACTGTTGGACCTATGAAGACAACATAGGGAAATCTGTATATAAACCGGGCAATGTATTCATGTGGTTCGACTTATCCGAATGGTATGATTCTTTGTCGTGTAAAGAGAGGTGCCCATGTGATACCGAAAAATTATGCCCCTTTCATTTGGAGGCAACCTTTCACATGACTCAACCAACGAACAACCCCTCAACCCATGTCCTCTCTATGGACCCTCGTATTACAGACAATCATGCACTGTGTGAATGCCTGAGGATGGGACTCAACCACATACCGCCGAGAGCATACTCAAAGACTCAGGTAATCGAAGCATTGATGAAGGGATGGTACGACACAGTCGGGATCCTGCTCAGGTATGTATACATCCCAAAGGGCCTCATCGACCACTTGAGCGAAGAGGTAAGAAGGAAGATAGTGGGGCACTTGGAACATGGCATGATTAGATGTTCTACGGCTGTAGGAGAGTTTCAGTTTAAGTCAGACCTTAGGTTTCTTACAGATATACTACTCATTGCAGGGACTGATAAAGCAGCTAACACTCCGTTTTTTGTGTGTAAACATCTCATACGTGCTCTGGCTCTGGAAAGGCTCTCAGACCCGAATTTTGAGATCCCTAGCAGTACGATCGATGAGGTGGTGAATGAGGCGTGCGACTCGTTGAACAGTCATTTTTCTTGGATTAAGCTGCAGTCCAAGAAACTGCCATACATTATGGCGATCTACAAACACCACAAAACGTCGTTCAGGTAGTAAACGAATGCAGCGGACTCTTTACTAACAACACCTGCACTTGTCTGTGATGCGGTACTAAAAGCTCTGATGCCTGCAGTAATGACGCATTGCAGGGAAATGAGGGATGCTGCGAGCATTCGGTTTTCTCTACAGACATTGCTACATGCTTTGAAAATATACCCACTGATGAGTCTCATGATGGGTTGATTTCTGCTGTGAAATTCTTTACGGTTATGGCATTTAAACACCTGCGTGCGAATGGAGGGCACAATGCACTTAGGATAAAGCAGGGGTGTAATGGACAGATAACATGCATCCTCTGTAGGGTCTCTAACAGGGCCGACCGGGTGAAAAGCAGTATACTTAACGAAACGAGTATTATTGAGCTATGCACATAGGTATTGAAGCGCTGTTATACGGTGTTCGGGAACAGAGTGTGGAGACAGGTAAGGGGCATCCCAATGGGACTGCCGTGTTCACCGACCTGGTGCAACTTGTATTTCTTCAAGTATGAATACCAGTTTATTCAGAGACTCTTGAGCAGGGGGGCGTTCACTTTCTCAGCGACGTTTCAACATGCGTTCAGGTATATACACGATGTGTATGTTATCAACAACCCAGCTATCCTCAGGTTTCTGGATAAGAACCAACCCAGGGTTCCAGACGATATCTTTTGGATTTATCCCTTGCACATCATAAAGATTAAAAACCAAACCCTGGATTTCACAACTAATTCCGATGGCTTGATCTACGACACAAAAGCTCAGTTCTTACATTTGGATATAAAAGTAATCTGTCACGACACGGGTCTCTTTACTACAAGACATGACAAAACACGTGGGCTGGCTTTTTCACCGGTAAGATTCGTGAACAGGGCTTCGAATAGGCCGGAAAGGCAGTCATGCAACATCTTGGTCGCACAAACCGCGTTGATCATGTTGCTTACCTTTGTGGCAATTACTGCGGCTTATGATATTAGAACTCTGATTGAGATCATGGTTAGCAATAGGTTTCAGTTGCGTCGTTGTATTGGTACTGTGTTCAAAGTCCTTGACCACCCGCCATTATATCAGATATTCAATTGCTGCCCCATGGACACGAAGCAGGTATTGGAGGTGAGTCAGTATTTGTAGAAATACTTCCACTCCTTATATGTTGCCATATGAGACGGTAAGTTGTATGTTCCCTGTGGGTGGAGATGTGCGTGTGCCTATCATTCATCCTCTCTGATGGGGTGAAGAATGATGGGGTGACTGGAGATGGTCCTGAACGGGGGTTCAAGATCATCTCCTGAACCCCTTGTTCTGATCTCCCAGTGGGATAGGGGTGGGTCACACACACACACACACACACACACACACACACACACACACACACACACACACACACATACACACACACACACACACACGCAATCATATGAGATTGGGTATACATATGTATCAATTATATATATATATATATAAAATGTGTGTGATGGGTCTTTTTGAAAGAAAACGAAAACGGAAAGAAAAAAATTGTTTCTGCCGGAAGGGTTGAATAGCAGAAAAAACAATGGGGCTACAGGCCCAAGGGGTGCGTTTCGAAAGAAAGATTGTTTCAGGTAACACCAAAGCGCAAAAAATAAGGGTCTAGGAAAGAAGGCCTGCTACCCCCCGAAGAAGAAAAAGGGAATGCATGCGCTTAGGAAAGAATCCTGCAAAGAATCGAATCGAACGGTTGAGGCTCGAGCCGTCAGAATAGGTACTAAGTAGGAAGGATTAGCTAGGCCTATTGACTATATTATGGGTAGGCGATGCGGTCCTAACCATCGGCAAACCAGATTGTGCGGTAATTCCACGAGGAGAGTTATCGTTCCTTGCGATAGCCTACCCCGGGGGAATTACCGACACTCCGAGCATGACGAGCATGCAGCTTTCGTCTACTACGTTCGTCGAGCAGCACGTACAAAGACCGATACGTTACGAGGGAGAAAGGACGTTGGTGAGGGTGAGAGCGAGTGTGTCAGTTTCGTGCTCCGTGACGCTGATCTCCAGTGACCCTTGAGCTGTGTTGACGTGTGAGGCTGCAGTAACGATTGCGGTTGTTACTGCACCAACGAGGGTGTCAGTGAGGTGTACGCTGGAGGGTGTGCTAACATGGAACTCGCGAAGGGGACACTGAACCATGGAAGACGCACTGACGTTTGAGGAGATGTTGGATGAGCATCTGAGGGAGGAGGATTTGGTTGAGGAGTCGCAAGGAGAGGCGCCCCCAGAGGTGATGTTAAGAAGTCTAACTATCGATATTATGATTACTATTATCAATATTATTATTTATTATTTATTATTTATTATTTATTATTTATTATTTATTATTTATTATTTATTATTTATTATTTATTATTTTGACTTGATTCTGTGATGTATCCTTGCGGGTGCGGTTTGGTACTTACCTACCCACGGTGTTTGCTTGTGTGGAGAAGATTCCTGG